AAGAATATACGATGTAAGAACTATTGAACGGTTGTACTATATTATATTTTAATAATTAAATCAAAATGTGTATAAAAAAATATATTAAATTAAATATATATCAGTTATTTTTGTATTTTGAAATAAATTATAAATAAAAAAATGTTTATTATTTTAGAATGGAAAGAGTACTATAAAGATAACCAATGTTGATAATACTTGAACAAGATGACAATATTACAACCTCGTTGGGATCGATTCACATGGTTAAAAATTCATTTAAATCATACTATAAATGTAAGTTTAAATCCCTCTAACACTATTTAGATACAAACAATTCTACGAAATAGGTTACATCTACCATTCTCGAGTTGGAGTCTCAACATTACTTATAAACAAGGTGATTTATAAGTATTTGTGGATTAATTAAGTCAAAGGCTTGAATGCTCATATTATTAAAATAAAAAAATTGACAATATTACTAATATTTAATTAATATACACCTTATGAATCCAAAAAAACCTTAGTTCTCTGCCTCTTTCCCCAAAAAAAACCTAGCTAATATTTCTTCTCATTTTTAAAGCAACAAGCTTTATAAGATCTTATCGCTTTGGGATATATGTAGTCACTTTGCTTTTAAGGTGTTTTTGTTTTTTAAGATTCTCAATGAGGGTTAATTAATTTATATGATATTTAGTATTTATTGGTCATTTATAATATTTTTATAATATTATATTTAAAGATATTTATCATGTAAATTTAAAAAATGCGATATGACAAAAATCTAATCTTCTCAAGTGAATTATAAATGTAGTTTTCTATTTATCTATTAAAAAAAATACCCTCATGAGATAGATTCACAATGAATGCAATTTTAGCTTCAATACAGCTTGAAATTGCTGAAATGTCACATAATTATCAAACATAATATATAAGCCAAAAATATATTAACATATATTTACACACACATTACTCATCGAGCTCAACTGAACTAAGATCGACGGGCGCAACAGAAGGCTCTCTCACGATGGTCAGGAAATCTCCATTCTGACCCTCCAAATAAGCATTCAAAAAGGCGACGACAATACCGCCTACACATTTCCTCATCGGGTCCCGAGGACGGCTACTGTTTGTGCACAAACAGTCCGCCATTACTCCGACAATTCCACGCAGACCGTCGTTTAACATGTCCATGTGACCGTAATTTGTCGCCACGAAGTGGGCCCGAGGCGGCTTGCATTCATTGAAGAACTCAACATGGTTAACACCGTCCGGAGCACACGGCACCGACAGGCAGTTCTTCTTTACACCTCCCAGTCCAGTTCCGATTACAGTGATCGGAATCGACAAGTTGAAAGAACAGGGTCTGAAGGTGAGGATGTGAGGTTGTGTTCTGCAATGAACGCTTTTCCCAGCTACAGGGTCGATGCCTACTAAAGCAGAGAACTTTTGGGTCGTCTTGGAATAGCCAAGTGCAACGGCGAAAGCCGTCTTTCCTCCTCTGCTGTGGCCTACGAGATTCAGCTTGAGTAAGTTTGCCTCAACGTTCTCCGGAAGAAAGGATTTCAGGCCTAAGGGAACCCAATCTGCCACCTCCCCTGCCAAGTCTACTTCTTCTTGCCCTCCAGGTGGAATAATGTTACATAACTAACAATCAAATCAAATTATACCAGTAGTAAGCATTTGATAAAAAGTTTACAAGAATTATTTAAAATATGTTTGGATCAAGAAAAATAAAAACATGGAAACATTCTTCCATCGCCCATATACTCTTACACAAATTCGTAATTGCTAATTTAAAATTTTCAATCCTAAACAAGGAATAAGGTAAATTGAAATTGATGGGGTCCTTGAAAAATATATATATACCTGAGGAGCAACGATTATGAATCCATGGGAGCAAATGAAGTTCAGGAGGTCAGTGTAGAAATAGTTACGGAGGTAGAAGCCATGGAAGAACAAGATAACAGGGTAAGTGCCTGCAGTGGTTGGAGTAAAAATCAGTAGCGGTTTAGGAGGTGAAGGAGAAGATGAGGATGATGATGTATCATCTTTTATATTTGAACAGCGTGTGGATGGTGCCTCCACTTCTATGACCTTTGGGTGGCAGTTTCCCTCCTTGAAAACAGGAAGCGTTGTGGAAGCAGGAAGTGTGGAGGTAGAGGGAACAGGCGTAACTTCCCGAAGTGATGTCATTCTCCGGTTATCTGGTTAAATAGCTTGGTGTGGGAGATCACTAAGATGCAGCTCTGTTTTATCTAATGCTGGCTGCAGCAGGCCACATAAATTAGTTGTTTGCTGCGTCAAGGTTTTAATAATAATTAAAATTTAAATTATGACATTATCACATTAAATATTTAAAAAAAAAAATGCTAGCCGAACCAAAGGTAACCATGTTTTCCCTTACGGATGGGTCCATTTAATGATGGGACAAGAGACTTAACATTAATCCCTTGGTTTCGTTTTTTACTTTTTTAACCATTTTTTTAAATAAAAGATAAAAGGTAGTTTTTCTTAAGAATAATTAATTTTAGTAAGCAGTAAATCGATAAAGAAAATAGCTGTT